TGCTGCTTGGCCTGCTGTGTTCATCCAGCCCTGCACCTTGTTGTCTCATATAATTACACGGTCACAGGTTTAACATAAAATCTTACACCCAACAGGTAGTTACTAACACCATCTGTGTCTTCCCATTCATATGGTGTTAGTGTCACCTCTACTATTATTACAGTTACACTAAGATCACAGTGCAAGATCTTGCAAATGAGGTAATATTGAACAGTTCCACCTAATTTTCATTCTGCAAATTACATCCAGTTTCCTCTGAAGCACAGTGAGTGCTCTTAGTATCAGAGAAAACCAAAGTGTAGAATGCAATGTCTCCACTTTCACAAGACCATATTTATATTCTAATAACAATTTACCAGCGTGGAAATAAACTGACGGAAATTCATTTTGCTTGGGCTGATTTAAATTGTTCTGAAGGAGCTGGTACCCGAGATGGTCACGGTCAGGCCTTCATATAGTGTAACATCTGGCAATTTCCTCCTCATTTACCTCTCCTCACTCTATTGAAGAGTACCAAAGGTGAAGCCTGACCATGTCTCTATGCATTGTAGTCAATTTGGTCCATCAAGCCTGCTCGACCATTCAATGAGATCATGACTGATGTGATAATCCTCAATTTCACTTTCCTGCTTTATCCCAATAACACTTGATTTCCTTCTTGATGAAAAATCTGTCAAACTCAGCCTTTAGGCTACTGAACAACCAAGCCTCTACAGGCCCCTGTGGTAAAGATTTACTCAGATTGACTAGCCTCTGAGATTAAAAAAAAGTCTCCTTATCTCTGGGCAATCCATAGGTAACACCTTACTCCAAGGTTATGCCCTCGAGTCCTCAACTCTCACAAGGGGAAACAACTTCTCCACATCTATGTCTCTACGAACCATACGTGATTCAATAAGACTGTCTCTCATTCTCCTATACCGCCGTGAGTACAAACCCAGGATATGCAACCCCTCCTCATTTGAAAGTCCCTCCATACCCGTGTAAAAGTCAAATATTTAACAGTATTTTTTAAGGTTAAATTTATGGGTTGACTGTTATATGGATACTACTTTTGAGGGGCTGAAATTCATGCCCATCAAGATTCATACCGTTTCATTAGCAGAAACCCAATTGATCTCTAAATGAATAAAGATAAAAACACAACAAATTACGGTAATTACTGGATAAAGACAATACAAGCAAAAATGAATTAGTAATTATTCCGTCTGCTTGTTCTTTTTTCTTCTTGTTATTCTATTCTTTCTTTTTGAAAAAAAAACTTGGTGTACCATCGGTGCAGCTGAGGGCCAGAACGGAGCAGGTTGAAGACCCGGAGTGGGACGGCCAGCAGGTTGGAGACCC